AGAGAGAGAGAGAGAGAGAGAGAGAGAGAGAGAGAGAGAGAGAGAGAGAGAGAGAGAGAGAGAGAGAGAGAGAGAGATGCTGCAGCAGGTCTGGCTCCGCTTGAGGAAGCCCTACTGGGCTCTTAGGCAGGATACTTCACCACTTGCCTTGTCTGTCTCATGTCATTTTACTATCAGTTAGCCCGGGTGGTTATACATAGGAGTGGGCAATGGATATCATATTTCATATCAATTGGACCCAGTGGGCCTGTTATACTAGTTTGTTAGGTGGGTTCAGTATTACAGGCCGACTTCTGAGCAGTCCAGTGACTCCCTGATGTGGCTCATCGTTTGTCAATCTGACATCTCTTTGAGCTTCCATCTTCACAGAAATGCTAGTACTGTATGTCCTGTGCTAGAGTGACCCATGTGTCAGAGCACTGCAAAATCACAATCTCCTGTCCAGATTTATGATTGCATCCGGATTCGAACTTGGGTCTGTATTTCAGCAGTTCATGGGGTGTACCAACTGAGCTACGGTAGGCCTGTTCGTACACAATCTCCTATCCAGCTTCGCTATATGACTGATCGGCTGATGACAAGCAAACAGAAAAAGTGTCCGTTGACTTAAGGAATGAACATGCGAGCAGTTGCAGAGAAGACCCTTTTTTTTTTCTTTTTTCTTTTTTTAAGACTCTGCAGGAAATAAGTTGCAGACAAGACCTCACAACAGCTAAACACCCTTACTTTGGATCAGGTCCCATCGTCGTGGACACATAGAGAGGGCATAGAGAAGGAATATCGGCAACGAAAACCCACAAAACTTGCTCAATGCCGCACTGTGATGGCCCACCTGAGATCTGGCTAGCATGTGATTAATATGGTAGCATGTGATTAATATGCTAGCATGTGATTAATATGCTTTGTGTCATGAGGATCATGGGGGTATAACTGTATAGCCCATGCACAGCGCTGTACAGATGATGACAGTCAACGTTGTACCGATGTACGACACCCTCTCATGGCATGTCCTATTTGTCGACATGGTCTGGAGCGGCAATGCCTTATGCAATTGCAGCCGGCACGCCACTTTGTTCCCCGTCTTCACCCGAATAGAATGCCCGGTCATTATAGCTGCATTTGGTGCAACTTTCAGTTCA